GTGTCCCTCTCTCTCTGCCCCTCCCCCGTTCATGCTCTGTCTCTCTCTGTCCCAAAAATAAATAAACGTTGGAAAAAAAAATTTTTTTAAAGTCTTTTTATTTATTTATTTATTCATTTATTTATTTTTAAATATATGAAATTTATTGTCAAATTGATTTCCATACAACACCCAGTGCTCATCCCAAAAGATGCCCTCTTCGATACCCATCACCCACCCTCCTCTCCCTCCTACCCCCCATCAGCCCTCAGTTTGTTCTCAGTTTTTAAGAGTCTCTTATGCTTTGTCTCTCTCCCACTCTAACCTCTCTTTTTTTTTTTTTTCCTTCCCCTCCCCCATGGGTACCTGTCAAGTTTCTCAGGATCCACATAAGAGTGAAAACATATGGTATCTGTGTTTCTCTGTATGGGTTATTTCTTAAAAGTCTTTTTAATATTTCTATGGACTTTTATGAAATATTTAGAAATGCTAATTTTGGCCCATCCTTGATTGGAATCCTTTGGTAAAAAATGAGGAGAGGGTGCACCTCACCTGTACTTGAATGGCTGTAGGGGCACATGCTTTTTATTTATATTTTTATTTTTATTTTTATTTGAGAGAGTGCAAGTTGGGGAGAGGGGCAGAGGGAGAGAGAAAGAATCTTAAGCAGGCTCCATTCTCCGTGTGGAGCCCAGTGCAGGGCTCGATGCAGGTCTTGATCTCAAGACCCTGGGATCATGACCTGAGCCGAAACCAAGAGTCAGCTCAAGCAAAGGAGCCACCCAGGCGCCCCAGGGCACGTGCTTTTTAAAGTTCTTTAAGCAACACAGCTTAGTGAGAGTGAGTCTCCCTTGTCATAACTTTGGATTTCGTTTCATCAGCTACTTTTAATTATAGACATTTTGTTAAAATAGGTTTTGGTTTGAATAATGCAGTATTCTAAGTATACTTTAAGACTATGATTTGCCTGCATGTATTACATGTATTTTATAAGATACTAAACCAGAAGATACTCTGACAGAGTAGTGAACCTTATTACATAGGTTTAATTTCTGAATAAATTGAATTAAATCCAAACTATTTGCAGAATTTCCTGAAATCACAGGATATTAAGAACCAGTAGCATCTGTGCCAGAGATTTACTGTTATTAGGCAATTCCAACAGCAAATAACAGCCTGATTCTTCATCCCTCAGTGCTCAGAAGCATGTCCCTCCTGAGCTGGAGGGGAGGGAATCGTTGTATTGTCTGAGTTACCTTGCTGAATGTACATGGATTCCTTTATGAC